AAATTACCTCGGAGAACCTTTTTTCGTTACTTCTTTCTTTCCATGCCATAAAATCATCGTACGCCAAATGATACTTCTGTTTTGATTTTTCTGACAGCAATTCCTTCGTTGTTTCGTTTGCTAAATTGCATACTTCTGGGGAAGTAGAATCTACCATTTTATCGTCGGATGACAAAGAAAACTAAACAAATTATAGGATTCCGTACCTAGTGAATCACTTTTACCTATGAGTATATATAAGAGTATATTAGGTACACCACGCACCAATCGTAGAGCGAGGAGACCGTGCGCAATATTCATTTCGTAGTAGTGCGAAATGAATATTGGGCATTAGATTTTTCGCACTAATGCGAAATATCTAATTTTGTGTACTAGTTCACAGTGCGAAATGATACGTATTTCAATTAGGTCGTCGGAAATACAGATTATAGGGTGTAGCTTCGAATCCTGATGAAGACACTTTTTTTTCTCATTTGAATGTTTCATAAATGAAGAGTGATGATCATGTCACTTATAAACTCATTTTATAGCAGATATATCATAAGAATTCCACAAAACCCATTTTTTTGATACAGAGACATAACAAATGTGTATTTTATTGTAGGTTGCTTCAGCATTCGCTATAAGAGGGACTTTGAGACCTGCTAAATTGGCCAATGTGAAAATGAACGGTCTGAATGATGCAAAAACTGCATAAATTGGAAAGGCTCCGAATACCAAAAATAAAGTACCACAAACTTCAACAGGAACATTTTACGGAATATATAAAAAGTACGCTGATCTACGTCCCAAAACCATAGTTGATAAAAATAACAGATTCTTCATTAATTACCAGAAAGGCAAATGCAGTTTTTGGGAATTAGCAAGTTTGGTGCAATGACGAAAAAATCGCTACATTCTTGAAAATACCAAACCCAGAAAACTACACTGGCCATTGATTCAGGCGTTCTTCAGCCACACTATTAGTGATTTATCGACTCTGAAACAGCATAGCAAATAACTCAATTTATTGAACATGTATCGCCTGCGGCTCGTGTTTCATAATCTTGCCAAACTCGTATGGAATATCCTATTTTTCACACTAGTCGCAAAATACTTGTACTAATGTAGTTTCATTTTATATTGTAGGTGTGCACCAAGAGAGGATTTTTTAATATTCAAACTGGAATGTAAGTCACGGGAAAAAAGGGGGGCCATAAAACAAAATTTATTTTTCATCACGGTTTCTCCATACCGGTATATTCTCGGAGGCTAATATTTTCTATGTAGGTTCGTTTTATGTGAAATGAGGAAGGACTTTCAAATATTCCAAGTGTCGCCAATTGCGGGGGAAAAAGGCACGTTACCAAAATTATCTTTAATATATTCTTCATCTCATATGTCCATAATGTGATCAATATGGCCCCTTACAGAAAGTAATTTGAATGAATATTTCCAAAGATATTACAGATTTGAAATGCAGGGACATATCACGGAAAGAAAAGATTTGTTACTTCAAAGAAATTTATTTAGTCTAATTTATTTCATCATTTCGATTAAATATCATTCATTCCAAACAACGTGTGTATTGTATCGATTAGATGATAATTTTGCGGAGACAAAATGAAATTCTCATTTTAATTTCTCTAATATTTCAATTCAAGAGGTCTTTTACTTAGTCAAATGAATTGTGGATCATTTCAAGAATAACAGTTATTGAGTTCTCAAAATAATTCGGTTGAGTCAAACAATATAATTTCATCAAATCAAAAGTACGTCTGTTGAATGAAAACTTTCCAATTCAGTTCAGCAGTATGGGGTGCTGTTTTGACACTGATTTATAATTGAATCAGCTGAATATTTATTTTCACTTCAACAATACATATCAATACATTTAACTAATTTTGGAAATAATTCAAGCCTAATGGATAATTTCATTTCAATATTTTTGTTATTTGTTGGTTTGAAAAATTAAATTATTTCCTTGAAAGAAATGGTATAGTTGAAATACTCCTAAGGAATGAGTGCCGGTCGGCACCATTTGCGTTTGCGTAAGAACCGTAAACTAATCACGAATGGAATATAAAAAATGTGTTTTGTGTTTTGCAAGGAAATGACGAAGAGGTTTAGAGTTTTTTTTTTTATTATACGTGGATTGAAGTTTTTCAGTGTTTTCACGGGTATGTTCATATTTATATACTTTGTTTCATTCCATATTTTGAAATAATTATAAATAGCATGTATTGGATAAACGGACATCGTTTTTTTCAAGCACGTGCCCATAAATTTTTCTCGACAGCTATCCTTTATAAAAATGGCTTGAAGTTCTTATTGTTTAATGTAATGACTGAAAGAAAGCATTGATGTTTTAAATTCAGTTTTTGAAAAAGTAGAAGTTGTCGAGTGAAATGATTATCATTGAGAGGTAGGTAGGTATGCATACACTGGGTACCTAGTTGACCTTTGATCTTTGGATACGGAGGAATTGGACATTTTCAGAGTAAATACAATTAAGATGTTTGCCACAGAAATAGGTGTAGCGATGTCATGTATGCAATGTCAGTGAAGAACTGTACCTTTATTTCGAATTGTAAATTTCTTACAACATAAATAATTGAAGACGCCGTAAAAAATGATTTGATTTTTATCATGATAGTATGATGAAGGAACCTCTTTTTAAGATTTTTCTTCTAAGGAACATTGTGAAATAATTACAGTTTTCTATATTACTTTATTGAAATCAATAAGACCGAAAAAGGAAAGTTATTTGTAACATATTTACAGAAATGATGACATACAACAAAACTGCACGAGCTCAAAACATCTGTTAAAAAAAATCTGTTTTTCCATTAATCAGCTGCCGCCCCCATACGAACGACAACTCTCACAAGTTGAGAAACTTGTGCGAGCTAAGGACTAACGAGGTCTTACCTAATAACTTGGGATTAAATGACCTGATTGGCATTTTTAAAGGTGAAAAAATACATATATTAGGTATTTATCTCCCACTAATATACTTAAAACACATACTTTTCAAACAGAAAATGATTTAACCTAAGACATAGCTAAAAGGCTCACCGATGAAGAAATCAAAGAAATGATTCCCTCAAAAAGAATCCCTCAAAAGAAAAATATTCAATCAAGGAAGCAATTGATGGAATAAATCAAGAATCAAATATAACAGAGGTATGTCTTTCATTCATAACTTTCATAATGAATATGTATACCATTACAATTAGAAACATATTCAGTTTTCTCAAATAACTATATATTTTTGCGATTTGCTGCAGATACTTATTATTATTCAGGTCTGTACCTTAGTAATTGAATGCTAGAATTCTCAACTTTAGTATATTTGAAGGCCTGAAAGTTATGGTTGGAGAGCTAAGTAAATTTTGTCATCACAGTCATATTCCTAATCAAATTTTTCTGTGATGAAGTACGTCATTGTTTTTTTCCTATTATCAAAAAATAAGGATACCTCCGTTTGTTAAATTGGATTTGTACAAAAAAAATCTATTTTTATATTTCTATGAGATAAAATCCAAGCTAGTTAGTAGAAATTGATCCAATAGTATTATTGCGAAAATCACTAATCTCTGTTCTCTTTCATTTCAGAACATCACTTCACTGAAAGGTTTCGAAATCGACACTAATTGATTTTTAGTAGATATCGCAAATAATAATAATGAATAATAAAATATGTTAATGTTTTAGATTAGGATTACCCATTTGTGAAGAATTTATATTTTTATTTGAATATTTGTAGAAGTCTATTTCAATATATTAATTGTTTGAATCAATTTGTTACTAAAATTTCTCGATTTTTATTTATATTTTGCTCATTCTCATGTTAAAAACTTTTCTATGGCATTTACATAATCAGTATCTATTGAATATGAAATATTATCCGCAGGACTCCCATCAGCAGCTGATTAAAAAATCATGATACGTAAGTAGATCAATAATCCAATTGAGAAAATGATACAAATTGTATTTCACGTATTAAGAAATTGTGTTGTTGAACAAACTATAATATATTCTCACAATTTCATGGAAAAATATTTGATGGTAAAAAGCATATTGACGTTTTAGAGAAGAGGAAAGTAATTTTCACAAGAACCGATCTGAAGCTCCATTACTACCAACAAGATGCTGGCACTCAAATTAGTATAATATTTGGTTGATTGAATCCAATAACCAAATTCAAACAAGAGGGAAGGATTTTGATTTGTAACTTCATTTCATTTGGTTCATCGTTATTCATACTTATTTTGAACTTTCGAAATGATTTACTCTATCAGCAAGATACTCGCAATGAGTTATAAACATTGTTCGTTCAACTACTATTTATTATTTGTTCAACAAAATTATTACTTCAGTGGAAATTTTCCCATTATCAAAACAAGCATAGTTCTCCATCATCCTGCAGATATGTTATGTTTCTTCAACATAACTTTTGCTCAAATAGAAAATACATTTGATTATTTCAATCAGTTACACTATTTCACCCATCTTTAAATTTAGTTTGTTTAATAGAATATTCGAATTACTCTAAATCATTCTCGCTATCAATTAGACAAAATATTACTTGAAATCAATTCTTCTTTAAATTGAAATAACTGATCGATGTGATTGTTTCAATCAAATATTTGTTTGATACAATGAACATATGTTCGAAGAAATAGTTGGGAGTCAAGAATTCTTTTTTCTTGCATCAACAAAATATTTTGTCGTACATATATGACACTTTTTTTTCTTTGAATGAAGTGAATTTTCTTTCATTCAACAAACCTTTTTTTTTCATAGGAGTACATAGGGAACATATAATTGGCTCGGGGGTACCGGGCCAATTATATGTCGCTCTTTCAGGAATAACCTCTAAATAAAACATGTTTTTACTGTCTACTGACAGAAAAGCAGTGACGTTGTATAAAAATACATTCTGTAGCATATTCAGTATCAGCCTAGCACCAGTGCAGTTCCGGGGCGGTTCGCTAGTGAAATATATTTTTACTCACCTCCTCCACAATATTGAAATTTAGGATTCCTGACGCTAAATGAGTTCCAAATCGGTGGTCCATGATAATCATGCATATACAGATCACCCTCATGCCATACAAAATCGATAAAGCTGAATTTGAATCACCATAAGATAGTTTCTGATAGTTCTTTTTTGAAGAAAATGCCAAAAGCAATTTCGTGAATTGTGATTCTGAAAAGAGATCACTCAACAAGGATATTTCCAAATTAATAATTCAACGTACTTGATCCCAATTTGTCTATAGTGGAATCCCTCAAGGCGTCATATAGAGTAGACCCAATCACAACTGATACTAAAATTATCGATATCAGCCTAAAAAAAACTTAATTAACAATAATGAAGTAGTGTGAATATTCAAAGAGCTAGTTTATCTATATTTTATCATTTCATTAGTTCGGACGTCCATTGTCTACTATTTATGATATAAATCAATTTGAAATCCCTGAAAGACTCTTTAAAAAATTAAAAAGGTGAGCTGAAAAATAACAAATATAGTAAGCAAAAAAATTGAAATTACAATGAAATAAAATACAAGCAACAGAAAAAAAAAACTGAACTATTAACACGAGATGAAAATTAAAAAATTATCAACAAGAAATGATAACCAGTTATCACACAGAAGACGATTGTGGATACTAACAATCGAAACGTCGTGAAGTAACTTGGTTTGGAATCCTTTGATTTCTATTTTTCATTTCTTGTTAAAAAAAATTATTTTTCATCTTGTGTTGATAGTTAATTTTTTTTGTTGTTGCTTGTATTCTATTCATTGTGATTTCAGTTTCTTGTTTATTATAATTCTTATTTTTCAGCTAGTCTTTTTAACTTCTACCACAGTTTCTTTCAGGGATTTCGAATCAATTTAAATTATATTGGACAATGGTAGTCCGAACTGATGAAATGTCCCATGAAACATTGTCAACCACCTCCAAACATAGATTATCTATAGTTGCGACCAATTATGTCATGTCGTTTTTAAGATATTATTTCAGGAATGTGAGAAGAACCAATTATTTCCATCTTTCTCGAAATGACTTGAAAATTATGTATTCATAACCGTCATCTGAAAGATGTTTCTTTTGTTATATCACATGCAATTTATTTTATATTTGTGATATATGGTAAAACACAAAACATTGTGAGTATATGAATATTACTAGAGTTTTTTCCCCAACACCAAATCGTTATTTTTACACCTCGACACGTGTTTCGATCACCAAGTAATCATCTTCAAGAGGAAGATATCTTCCTCTTGAAAATGATCACTTGGTGACCATGTAAAAATAACGATTTGGTGTTGGGGAAAAAACTCCAGTAATATTCATTACTACACCAAAGGTTCCAAACAGTACATCATTGTGAGTATATAACAATGTCACATATGCCATGATATTTTTTGAGCTTATGAAAATGCGTATTTTTTCAGTTGATATTTATACTGATGTATTCTGAATATTTGGAGGTATAAATTATTAGTGATCTAAAATAACGTTATTTTATGGCCATATGAGAAACTGTTTTTCCTTAGGTCACTCATTTCAATTTCTCCTGATATTGACTTATACAGGGTGATTCAAAAGTACTTTGACAAACTTCAGGAAGTGATTTCTCACAATATTTTAATATGAATTGTCCGGATAAATAAATGTCCGGAAACGCTTCGTTTCCAAGATACAGGATGTTGAAGTTTTATTTTTATTTTCGTTTTTTTCAAATAACTTTTGAAATACTGAACTTAATTAAACGAAACTTGGTAATAGAAGGTTTTTGAGGTGTCGAATTCGAACCTGATGTTCTTACTCGTAGGGGGCGCCACCTACACGTCTTTTTCTTTTTTAAAGATTCATAACTTTTTTGGGCGTACTTCTAGCACATTTTTCAGTAAAAAAATCGATTCCTCTATCATATCTACGCAAATAAGCTACCCTTGTTACAAGTCGCTGTAAGCAACTGTTTTCTAAATATTTGGACTTGAAAACTTCAAGTCGATTATTTGATAATCGACGCATGTTGAAGTTATTACGAATATTTTGCATTTTTCACAAGAATGCTTTGGAAATAAATTTGATGTTTGTGAGTAGTTTTGATAATTACATATTTTGTGACAGTTAGACGTTTTGTTGAAGTTTCTGTAAGTAGGAGTAGAAAACACTTATTTTGAAAAAATGGATTATTTAAACAATAATGCCCATTTAGCCGATATGCATTTCGTTTATGGCCTTGCGGATGGCAATGCGCGCGAAGCAAGACGTATTTACCAGGAGCGATTTCCTAATCGAGCACTGCCTTCAGCTCCAACATTTGCTAGTCTTCACCGTCGTTTGGCAGAAACAGGTAGTTTTAAGAGTGCAGCTGATATTATTGGAAGACCACGAGCAGTCCGAACCCCAGAATTGAAAGAAGCTGTTTTGAACGCTCTCGAGGAGAATCCAGAAACAAGCACAAGAGTAATTGCTGAAGCTGTCAATTCTACTCAGTCTACAGTTTGGAGAATTATCAACGATCAACAGTTTTATCCATACCATATTCAAAGGGTACAAGCTCTTTCGCCACGAGACTTTCCCCAACGCATTACTATGTGTCAATGGTTTTTGAGAAAATTGGCTAGAAACCCTCAATATTTGAGATACGTACTCTTCACGGACGAGGCAAACTTCTCCCGAAATGCTATCACAAACTTTCATAACAACCATGTTTGGGCTCTCAAGTGACTTGGCATATTTGGTTCCATCGAGCATCCTCTCGTCGTAGCATCACCTTGTCATGGTAATGCAGGGCTCCGCCGTGATTGACCTTCTTTACCTAGCTACTCGTGGGACTTTTATGGACAGAGTAAACTTGAAATATCTTTCTGACGCTGAGTCTACAGAGAAGATGGATGTCTAGCTTACGACTCCAACTGAACTCCCTGTAAATTTAGATCAAGAGCGAGTCTACGGAGGAGATGGGTGTCGAGCTTACGACTCCAACTGACTTCTTTGTAAATTTATATCAAGATCGAGAGCTTCTCAACTCTCCAACTCCTGATCCAATAACTGAACCTAAAAAAAAGGTTTGGTGGTGCAGCCAGGAAACGACTGAGTCGTTTCCTCAAGAGCGGAGTACCTTATGAAACCGCCTTGCATCAAATTTTCGAGCGGCGTATGCAGAATCTGACTTGACCTTGACTATCCGACTACCTCATCAGGTTTTTAGAGTTTGGCAGAGCCATACTCTTACCATCTGACCTGAAATACCACTCACCATACAAACTAATCGGCTTCTTCAAGATGCTGGGTTTATTTGGTCGAGTTTGAATAGGTGGGAGCCACAATGCCACAATTGCGGTGGAGGGTCGAATAGACCCACTCACTTCGGATCTAACCTAACCTAACCTTACATCTGTTTTGAGATCGTTACCATATGCACATGAACTTACTATAAAGTGAATTGATATCGATAACAACGGAAACGTTAAAATTGCCATTGAAAATATCACTACTATCAAATTATACTCTAAAGTTGAAAGAACAAATTCTAATGAACAGAAATCGAATATTCTGAATATACTTTCTTCAGACTGTCATAAAAAATATATTGGTCAGACATCTAGCAATCTCAATAGTCCCATCATTTCTCATGAGAGCGACTGTAGACGTAATATGTAATTGTAATTCATGAACCTCATCAAAACATGCAAGCCATGTAATAATGATCATCGGATGAGATACAATATCGTATGGGATATCGATAGTAACTTTCATAAAAATACTTTCTTAGGAATGGTACGTATGTATGAGGCAGAAAATCAAATGAACAAACGCACTGATGTGAATAACCTCAGTCAAATATTCACATATCTATTAAATCATGAACAAGTAACATAATCTCACAGAGTAACCCACTCTCTAATCTGAATTTTCCGCCTTGATGATTGAAATAACTATTATGGTATTTGTCACAGTCACCTTGTGAAATACATTTCACTTCATTTCAACAAATGTTTTTTTCAGTTTCTTACAAATTCCATTCATTTCTCACGTAAGTATTTTTTAAAAGTATTATTTCATGCATTACGGTTGTCCTGAAGAAGATAGTAAACACTATCGAAAGCTTGACAGATATCGAAGAGTTTTTTTGCATTGAGTCCAAACGTAACTGACTGCACGAGCAGAATCCCATTTTCAATTGAAATTTTCTACTCAGTCATTTTTTTAAAATTTCAGTGAATTATAATGCATCAATTAGTAATTTAAAAAATCTGGATATTTACAAAAAAATACCAATACTTATTCATCAGCAGAAATAAATGTTTTCGTTGTAAAAAATATACAAAGGTATTCAAAAACAAACAAATTAGTAGTAGTTGAATTAATAAATCACAATGTCAATGAATGATATATAACGTTGCCAATGGTTTTCTGTGGTTTGAGAACATGATGCTTTCAAAAGAAATACTTATGCAAGAAATCTCAATTGAAAATAAATAATAATGTGCACTTTCGAAAGATGTTTTTATGATTCCATTCCGTTGTATCATATAATCTGTTTTTGAATTTCATAAAGTTGTAACGAGATTTTGTGTAGTTTTTGGCTTGATACATTTGCCATATCATTACCAGACTCATTTCCACTCAGTATTTTCTAATAACACTCACACAAAATATTTTTTCTTTCGATTATTTCTGGAATTACTGTCTTACCCAAAAGAGATATCTGCTTGATCTAATTGTGACTTTTTACCACTTTCCTGACAACTGTATTCTTCAATAACGGCTTCATATGTAACATTCCAATGTTTCATGTGAAAATCAACTTCTGCCAGATATTTATTTAGATAACGCTGGAGATCCTTGGCTGCGCATGATGCTGGAACACACCAACCCATCAAAACAATATTTTCTGGTTGTTGAGATGGGTCCTTTTTATTCTGAAACGAAAAATATTTGCTGAAACTAGATGATGGAAATGAAATAGTCTTACTAGTACCCCAAAAAAATAATGATGATCGATGAATTTCGAGTAGGAGAATTGGATATGCTGACATTGAATGTGACGAAACTGCGTCTGCTTGTTTCCATAAATCTTATTGATGGTCACTACCGCTTTCATTTCAGTCATGTGTCATCATTTTAAAATTCTCACATCAACAACACAGAAAATCAAAAAACTCTTCAAAATGAATGTATTCAACTATGCTGTCCACACTAAGGAATAGTATATTGTTTCAATAGAAAAAAAGTGTTGATTGTGTGGTACAAAACTACAAGAAACTGTTCGAATGAATCATACTATTTTTCTCAATGCAAAAAATACAAATTTTTCAAAAAATGAAAGGATTTTTATTTTATAATCTTCTATTCAATTCTTAATTCAATTCAATTCAATTGTGCCGGCGGCTCTGAAATTGGCAAATTTTATTGTTGCTGACATTGAAAAGGACAGGACAAAAAATTTTTCAAAAACAGAATTGAATTATTTGTCAGATTGACATTTGTTTCAGATCGAGCGGAGCCTACATTATGAGAGTCTTGTGCATATGAAAAGAAAATATGTTTCAGTCGAGAAATTCTTGAAGATCAATTATCCTTTGATGTAAAAGAATTTTTCATTCGAAGGAAAATGATTTTGTGTGATTCACATGGTTGTTAGCCTCCCACACGCTTGCCTTGCAGAAAAATTAAAAACAAATATACTGTTGGGAATAATATGACGGATAATTTCAATCTGGAAGATATTGTTTCACAAATACATTTTGTAACGAATAATATGTTTGGTGGATTTTCCACCAGACGTGGGTAGATTATCGATTTAATCATATCCTAGAACCTCCTGATAATTCTAGATAACAATCGAAATAATATTTCTCTCATACTGTTTGAAGATGGTTTTTCTGAATGATACGTTTTTTATATGTGATACTTCATGAAAATCCATTATAATGTGTTTAAAAACACTTTGTTGTGAAATTTTCATTTGTCAGTTCACAACAGGTGTTTCATTACACAATGGCTTCTTCAGACGTGTTCACCAACAGTTTGGTATAAACTAACTACTCAAAATTGAATGTTCTATGTTTAAAATATATTTTTCCGTCAACCAGCTGTCGTATCCCTACGAACGACCAAGCCGTCTGAGCAGTCTTTTTTGTTCCTTGGCAGGTAGAATATACGCGGTCAACCTATATTTTCATTTCATAGGTGTACGGCAATATATCGTGTTTTCACTATATTTCCTGAAGTTTTTTTATGTGAAGCACTCATTAGTCAAGATAGTCTTTCCTCTCCCCGCTTCATCGGATTTATGAAAACTGACCGTTTCGCGAGAGTAAGTCGTGTTCTGCTTGATTAGAGGTTTCCATATGTTGCGTATCTCTATGATAGTTTGGCTCAATGCGTTGTTGAGTCCAAACATGCTCTGCCATTCCTGACTTGCTGGTTTCTACTCGCAGTGTGTGTTTCTTGTGCTCGGCCATGCGAACTTTCAATGGCCTCTTAGTTTCACCGATGTATGATTCTCCGCACTCACAGGGTATCCGGTAAATGTAATTCTTGGAATCGCAGTCCGCGTTTGATGTCCTGGTTCTCGTGAGGCTGCTACGGATAGTGTTTCCAGATCTGAAACAGGTTCTGATATTATACTTGGACCCAATCCTTCTCATCCTTTCCGACAATTCTTTGATGTAGGGAAGTACAAGTACTGGTTGTGGCGGCTTCTCTTTCTTGTGGAGCTCTTACTGTCTTCTAGCTAAAGCCTGTTCCACTATCACTTTTGAGTAACCATTCCGTTGAAGGTAATTTTTGTTGATGCCTAGTTCCTTCTCGAGACCTTCCTCTGTATTATAGAACCCGAAAGCACGGTTTAGTAGAGTTTTGATGATTTCTCTCTTAGTCGATTGATGGTGGTTGGATTCCATGTTCAGATACTGTCCTGTATAGGTGAGTTTTCGATATACAGATGTTTCCCATTTAGTGTCGTTTTTATTCACCAATACGTCTAAGAATAGCAATTCATTGTTGGTTGTTGCTTGAATTTTATTTAATTGTAATTTCAGTCTTTTCGCTTACTATAATTGTTATTTTTCAGCTACTTTTTTGAATTTTTTCAATTTTTTACAGATTTTTTCTGGGATTTCCAATCGGTTTATATCATATCAAACAATGGAAGTCCAAACTAATGAAATATCATCTTCAATAATCAGTAATCAATTATTGTTTCAGCAAATATATACGAGAACTTCAAAACCTCCAAAAACTTTTTCTGGAGGCAACAAAACTAAAAAAATGACCATTTTTCAATGAAAAACATTTTTTTTTCACAAACCTTCATTAGGTGAAGAAATATTGTACACATTTTATCAAAATAGGAAAATACTTTTCTCCTTGAAGTGATATTATATTTCCATTCTTGAAGTTGACTATTTCATTCATAGTAATGACAAATCAAATGCAGTTTTAAAAACCAAAACTACCTGAAGGAAAACAAGTTATCAAGAGAATTTCAAGGAAAAAAGATATTTCACAATCGCTTCGTATGATACGCTATCAAAACATCCATGCCTAATGCCATGATTTATTGTAATCAGAAGTACTTTCTCAATACCTGCAGGAGTTGTTTATATTTCTCTCCAAAATAAAATCATATATACTGGTGAGAAATGTCATCAGCTGTGAACAGTATGAAATGAAAAGAAATATATACATCTATAGACCTGAATTAACCTTCAATAATGGATATAGGCCAAAGAATAACAAATATCTATAGACATATTAGGCCGTTGTAGATCTCATCGTTGTAGGCTCTGATTGACTTTGGAACGGACCGCGTTTGGGAGCCCCGTTTGTTTTGAAATTCGTGGATTGAACAGAGGACGTTCTCATAAGGGGAGATTTCGCAGCCTTCACTTACTCAGGCTTCTCCCGCAGCTCGCTTTCGTAATGGACCGCCTTGGAAAACCCCGCTTTTCTCTGATATTCATGATATTTCCTCAATATTTCATAAAAGGCGCCTCCGTGAGGAGAAATGTCATTGTCCCCACCTACTGGACCTTTAAGGATAGTTGTGTCCAGCGAAACATGTGTCTTTGGAGTCAGGTTCGATCCGTCAAGAATGAGTGAGTTGCATTGGATTTATACGGCTTTGTATCCATTAGCCGTGGCAGGGTACCCACATCCTGGTGTTGATAGATCTGTTCATGTACTCGAAGATTATGACTACCCCCTCCACCCGCCAATATATGAATAATGAATTCATTTCAAAGATGGTCCTATACAAGCCATTACTGGAAACCATGAAACCCAGTTTGCTTCCAAAATGTGGTAAACAACCTTGGAGTCATTGAACATCGAAGTAATTTTCACGTCTTTTGGGGGACTACAAGATTATCTTAGAAAAAAAGTATTAGAGAGCTTGACGAACAATTTCCAAGTTATTGTCATGATCAAAATATCCGGTTGGTTCACGGAACTGCAGTATCGAGTATAATTAATTGGGATTCTAATTCCATTTGAATTTTTGTAATAAAGTGAACCATAAGGTTTGAATATATTCTCATGAAGGCAATGGTCGAAGGAAATGTTCGAAGATGGGCTCGAATACTTCCAAGTTATGACTGGTGGTGATGGTCGCCATGTTATCACTTATTTCTCAAAGAAAGAACAGAAGCACTACAGAAAAATCCTTGAGGTACTCTCAGAGCGGTGCCTGTGCGTAAGTAGCGATTCACATTGGATTTGAATCGCTGGAGATTGAATTCACTTGGAAAAATATTCTCGGGATATTTATTTCACATAAACGCAATTCTCCAACTGGAAGAGTTTCTAAACAGTGAAAGTCGAGGTGTACTGAGTTGAACCTCAAAACGTTGAGCATCCACAATCCGTCGCGTATTTCTGATATGTAGCGCGCTTAGTGGAATCAATAGTCCTAAGAGACTTGAACTCTTCCCGTGTAAGTATTTATAGAAGAGAGACAAATCCTCAAACTCTCTTCGATGTTTCAGACTATTGAGGGATGTTCGCGTCCCCAATCAAGTAGATGGCTCTTTTCTGAATGGAATTCAACAGCTTTAGGGTATGTTTAGAGGCGGAGAACAATACTCCAGAGGTCTGATCTGAGCTTCATAAAGCGTCAAAAGTTGCTGAGGTATGTATGTATGTATACAGTAGGGAGGGTGGGTGTATACCCACAGCACCAGCACTACAGAAGCCTTCAAATGTGCAAGGAAATCAAGTTTATCGGACCAATACAGAAGGTCCTTAACTGAGTATATACTGAGTATTTACGTGGAGAAGGCAATGTAAATGTGCTGTAAACTCATTTCAACCCTATAAGTCGCCGGGACCTGATGGCATATATCCAGTAATGCTTCAAAAGGTACCGGAAATACTTTTTAAAAGATTGTGTATAATTCTCAGGGCAAGTTTAGCACTGGGAAACATACCAAAAATTTAAAGACCGATCAGGGCCACCTTCATTCCGAAACCTGGGAAAATCGGACAGGACTCGGCGAAGGCATTGAGACCAATTAGTCTCATGTGATTTGCGTTGAAAACGCTAGAAAAACTACTTGACAGGCATATCAGAGACGTAGCAATGGCTATCAGACCGTTACATCGAGACCAATATGCATACAGGTCAGATATGTCAACAGAAACGCCTCTATGTCGGGTAACAGAAAAAGTAGAATATACTTACAAAAACAAGGAAGTACTTTCAGCTGCTTTCTTGAACATTGAGGGCGCATTTGATAATACGTCGTTAGAATGAATCATCCAGGCGTCGAGGAGAAAGGGGATCGACAAGACAAGCTGTAGGTGAATAGACTGCATGCTTAGGGGAAGATTGATATATACAACCATTATGGGTGGAACAGTCGTGGCACAGATAGCAAGGGGCTGTCCTCAGGGGGACGGGTCCCCTCTGTTATGG